CCCCCCCCCCCCCCGAGACCCTGGTCCTGCCCTCACGCGTCGTCATGGTCGCTCTCTGTCTCGCTGTCCAGGCGCAGGGGCCCTGGGGCCTCATCCTCATGTGTGGGGGCAGCACCCGCATGGGCCTGGGGGGCAGCGAGGGCAGGGCCGTCCGAGCACGATGCCCCGAGCCGCCCTGGCTCCGCCCCCAGCGCCCCCGAGAGGTCAGGGGCCACAGCCGCCGACTCTGGGGGTTCTGGGTGGGGATATGCCACACCGGTGGATGGCGGAAAGTGCCAGCCCTGCTTCCCTCTCCCATTTTTGTGGGTCCCACCAAAACCCAGGGAAGCCATTTTTGTGCATCCCACCAAACCCAAAAGGGCCACTCCCTGCCCCTGGCTCCTCCCCCAACACCACGGATACGTGGCTGCTATTTTTGCAGGCCCCGGGGCCTCTCACCTTTGTTGTGGGCAGTAGTGGCGGGGTGGCCAACAGGCTGCTGTCCCTCGGTGGGCTGCACAGAGCAGTCAGGCTGGCTCGGCGCCAGGAAGGGCACAAGTGAGTGCCACGGGAACACAGCCACAGAGCGCGGCTCCACGTTGGTCCACACTGCGGAGCCAAGGGCAGGCGTCGGGTGAGGACACGCAGCGCCCAGACACGGGGGTTCTCTGGCAGGGGGAGCCTGGATGCCTGGCTTTCGTGGGAAGGGCGTGTGAAGCCCGTAGATGCAGGTTGGCGGGGGGGCAGAGTACCACCCCCGTATGGGACCCGCCTGCCACAGGCCCCACCCCCTTCCTGCCTGCCCCTATCAGAGCAAGGAGCACTTCCGGGGGGGGGGAGGCAGAGACAATGGTGCGTGCGTGCGTGCGCGCGCACACACACACACACACTGACAATGGCCTGGATCCTGGCCAGCATCACTCTGTGCACACCGAGCAGAATACACCTGCCCGTGTAAGGCAGCACACAGTCTGTGCCCCGCCTGTGCGCAAGATGACAATGCGCACACTTGAGCAAAGCACATGCACGCCAAGGACATGTAGAGCCACGCCAAGGCAACTTGCAACCCAACCCTCACGTGCGCACATGCAAAGTAGTGACCTGCCACATGCACGCGCAGGGCACACAGAGGCACGATGCCAGGCACAGTCCATGCTGCACACGTGTCTGCACACACACAGCAGCAACGGACCACGACCCAGTGCCTGCTTTGCCCGCACATGTGCACATACCATGGTGCGATGCACCATTACAGCCCCGTGCACAAGCCCTGCCCCAGGGAAAACACGTCTGTTGCATGCCACTGACACCACCACCACAGGCCTCTCCTCACTGCAGGGGGGTGGGCTGGAGCAGGGGGGCTCTGGAGCCGAGACGCCTGGGTTCTGCCCTTGCTGGGGGGAGCTCTGGGGCCCGGATGCCTGGGCTCCCTCCCTACTCCGGAAGGGGTGGGAGAGGAGGCAGCCGCTGCGACTCCTCTGGCTCTAAGTGCCTGGCGGTCGCGGTCGCTGCCGGGAAGCGCCGGCTCCACAGCTTCCTCTCCTCCGGCCGAGACCACAGGGGGGAGCACTGCAGCAGGACCCCTCTCTGCTGTGGGGGGACTGCCACGCCCCTGCCACTGGCTGGGATTTGGGGGGTAGCTCTGCTCACCCCAGCCATCTGGGATCCACGGGGGAAACTGAGGCAGCCAGGGCACAGGAGTACTCGCCCAGCCCCCTCCCACCAGGCCTCACTGCCCTACACAAGCTGCAGAGAACCCAGGTGTCCGGGCTCCCGGCCCCGCTGCTCTCACCCCCCACATCCTCCCAGAGAACCCAGGCGTC